TCTGCCTCATCATATCAACTCTTACCCGATGAGTTGAAGAATATCGATATCGAACAGCGCTCGGTTTGTTTAAAACGAAACCAAAGGAATTTTTTATTTTAAATTAAACCGTAAATGTATAGACACTTGCAGGGCACCACCTTGCAAAATGTCGTTGACGTTGCTATACGAATTAATTCTAATTTAATATTTATTTAATATGAAATTTCTTGACCTTGTTGAGAGTATAATAATAATGTAAGTAAATATTAATCTCATGCACCCTCTTGAAATAAACATTTATTATTATTATTTAACAATTATTGAATGAGGATGAGCACGATATGAAGAATTATCAAGTCCAAAGTTTGCCGTTATCAACCGAAGCCGAAGGCTGAGGTTGATAACGGCAAACTGAGGGCTTGATAATTCTTCATATTGTGCGAAAACGAATCCAATAATTGTTAAATAATAATAATGTATGTTTATTTATTATTTATTTAAAAAATTCAAAACATTTGTATTTTATTCGTATTAAGAAAAAAACAATTCCTTAGTCCTTCGACAGCCGTCGTCATCGTCGTATCAGAGAGTTTGGCGGCAAATACAAGGGCAACGGCAACGCCAATATGGTCATCAACAATAGCATTAATCCTCAAAGACAAAGGCGAATGTAAATTACGTGGTCTTAAGCGTTGTACAATGCCGTAGTTGTTGAACTAGTACGTGATTTGCATCATTTTCACGGTGCTTGACTACGGCAACAGTTAATTCGTTCGATGTTATTTGAGAGTTTTATTTGAATTCGCGGACTATTTTTACTTAAGGGTACGTTTGAAAGAAACAGGAATACTTAAAGAGGCAAATTAAGTGTAGTAACGTATACTTTGGCTCAAATACAACAATATAAGCAATTATATTTTCGCCGTTGTCGTTACCGTTCTAGATTGCCAAGCTCTCTAATAGAGAAAGTTTAAGATTTTTATCAGATGTAAGTTTTCCAAAGACAAAGAGTTTCTCGTACGAGTCCAGATTGAAGCTGGCTTTAGTTTTCTTCGAAGCGCGATCTCTATCTTTTCTTTGAGCATGTTGCTGTCAATCATGCTTCGTCGGTTCTTAACCAAGATTCGTGACCCGCACGCTCAGCCAGGTCAAAGGCGGAAAGCCCAGACGAATCTTTTAGATAAATGTTTGCGTTGTGCTGAATAAGGATTTCAACAACTTGCCGTTTTTGAGAAAAAAGGCCATTTTCAAATGCATAGTGAAGTGCAGTACGCCCATAAAAATCTTGTTGATTCACTTCAGCTCCGTGCTCCAAGAGTAACGATACCACCTGTTCCGCCACAAAAAGATAACTATTTAGTTTCGTACACGCCAGCATTAGGGCAGTTACCCCAGAACCTCCTCTGTTTCTTGGGTTTGCTCCATGTTTTAAACAGTCGTCTACCATTGATGCTAGCTTTTGAAAGTGAAGCGGTTCCGATAGGAGCGAGTGCCAGGCATACTTGAACTCTACATAAATCTTTCGATCTCTCAGAAGCCGTTCAATTTCTGAATAAATTAGAATAAAGCGTAGTTATATACATGCATACGGTTAACTATTTGACAATTAGTCACCGACGGCGAGGTTATTACAAGCCTATATATTGAGACTTGGCATACTTGAACTCCACATAAAACTCCATATATTATATACTTCACATTTATTATTCCTGAACAAACAATCAAGAAAGATTTAATTTGACATAAATAATCGTATCAAAACACCCCGCAATTCTGGGTGTCATGTGACCACCCAATCCCAATCCCATTTTCGCCAACCTTCAGCCGTGGAGGAAAAATGCCCTGGGGACGAGGTTGAGGCATTCAGTAAGCGATAAAACATGTTTACCACGGCTATTAAAGGGCCATGTTGCAATGTTACACGAGGCATGTTTTCTTGCAACTTGCAACGCAATATCTGATCTGTCGCAATATCTGATCTTCATATCAAATCTTTCATATATTGTTTAGATAGTCCAGTATATATTATTGTAATATTTTTATTTTGTACCTGAGGGCGAAATGTTTGTTACTGTGAATTCACTATTATGTGCTACCCTCTTGAAATAAAGTTTTTCATTCATTCATGTGTAAATGTGTAATTACGATAAAAACAATTGGAATGCAAGTGGGCCCATGATTTGCATTTTCTACGAGTATTCCGATGCCATCTTCAGTATACTAAGGCCCAAAGCCCCCCGCATGTGAACATTTATATTCCTACACCCACGGGACCAGATGTTCAACAAAATTCCCCACCCCCGGGTGTGCAGTTCCCCGAGGGCAGGGGTAACAGAATAATTGTACCATGCATTAGAGAAGTGGACGTAATACTAATAGGTAACCTCGTACCCAGGCTATTTTCTCTTGTGCTCGGTGCACGGCCACCTGCTGAGAAAATACCCTGGTATTGTCCAATCTCGTTCCCCGAGCATGCCCGTTTGCAGGTTAAGGGTGGGCATAGCCTTAACCTGCGAACGGGCATGCTTGGGGAACGAGATTGGGTATTGTCTGGTCACGTGTCTCCCAGAATCTGGGAGGTAACAATGAATTTCTATTAGGGTGGGTAACTAAGTAGCGTTTTGTCATTAAGCAAGGAGTGAGCGAAGAAATAACGCAGAAATCATGCGGGAAATATTTACAAGATTGTATATTTTATTTGTCATGAATACTATCCAGTTACACAATAAGGAATATCAAATTTCATTGTGCGCAGAATGACGGTGAGCAAAGATAGATCATATTTCAATAGACAAATTATGCTACACGGCTCGTCGAATAGATCACACGTTGTCGCAAACGTTATAAGAAAATATATTTCTACACCGTCCGATGTGGCTTTTATTTAGCTGTTGATGTCTATTCTAAAGGATTTATTTAATACTGAGATGTGGAATTGTAACGAAATAGAGAGATCTTTTGATTTC